AATTGAAATAATATCAGAAATAAAAAATTAAATATTTAAAAATAAAATTGGAAAAACACCATTGTTACAACCAATAATAAAGCATGAAGCAAGGACGAAGGATTGTGTGTTTCTGATAGGAGGTGGATCGATAAAGCGATTTTGATGGCTGCGCTGTTCAAGCCGTTTAATTAAATGTAACGTTCAGCTAGATGTAAGAATGTTATAATGAAATTGAAAAATTAATCAATGATTTAGTTACGATTGTTTTCAGCAATATATGTAAAGTAAGTATAATTGGTTTAATTATAATAATACAATGTCTAGTTAATAAAATTTCCTTCTAATAATATAATAGTCTATTTATTTATTTATAAAATATTGACTGGTAATTTTATTTTGGTTATAAGGTTTTGGGTATTTCTTGGTTTTATTATATATATTTTATTATATGTAAATATTTTCGATTTGGTAGGTTGATTTAGCCATTTTGTCATGTTGTGAACCGCTTTTCACTAAATGCTTATGTTGAGTGAATTATTCTCGAGAACTACTAAAGAATGTATACAATAATAACGTTAATAATAATATAAGTAACATGTAAATAGGTTCTTCAAATAATATTAAAATAAGGTTAGTACAAAACTACAAATTAATATATCATTAAACTATGAAATAAAAAAATACATGTACAGGTGAAGTTGTGAATAGATTTAGCAGAAGCATTAATTTTTTTTTTGTGCCTTTGAAACCGGTTTGAGTACTTTATTTCTGTTTTGTGGTTACTTACAATATCTGAGCCATATCAAGTTTCAAATCAAAAATATCTTATTCTCTAAAATAAGAAATACGATAGTTAATTAATTAATCTATTGTGTAATGAAGTTTTAAACTCAATTAATGTGATACATAAGTATTGCAGAAACTTTAACGCACACCTATTAAAACGATATTTCTGTGTTTATTACAAATGTTTAGGTGCACCCCTATGCCAACTTTATTTATAGCGAGTGAAACCTCGTTTCGCGATTAACCGTGCTGGCTTTAATATTGTGAATTGAAATAGAATTAAAAAGAACATGTTTTAAAAATGATTGATTTCATTTTTTTGGTATAAAATCTTTATCGGCATGATCATGCGGCGAAGGAATACATTGCAGTTTCATTTAAAATCAGGTCCACTGTCGACATAGACATCCACCTCCCTCGTGTTATCATTCTCCCCAACATACACATCACGGTTGATTAATTTCAATAACAGGGCGTCGATACGAAGTTGCCAGGGATTCATTACTGCAGAACAGTAGTTACTATCAAGACATGGTAAACAGTAGAATGAGAGATGCACACTTCAAAGAACTTACATTGGATTGTCTTTCTGATGCGAGCTTGCAAGAAGTTAGTGAGTTTTTATTATCGCTGCAAAGCAGTGAGGAAGACAGGTCTACAAAGATGAAGCGAATAGAAAATATTGAAAAAGGTTTGGAAAGTGCGTCTTACTTGCAAATGAATGGCATGATGAATTTATATATCGAATACCTTTTAGCATATTTGAATGATTCATCATACGCACGAATCTTCGGATTAGCAAAGAAGTACGCTCTCATCGAGGTGATCCAACAAATTTATGCACGTTAGTGGGGGGTACAAAGAAGATGAAATTTCAGTCAACCTGGTGTATATGTACAACCCCGCATGTAACCAGTGGTTTGAGAAGGCTCCCAAGTTGACAGCACGTCAAGATCACGTCATGACGGCGTTGGGAGATAAAATTTTTGTCGTTGGAGGAAACTGTTTCGCAACCGAAAACGGCCTCGATACCGTTGAAAGTGCTATGGTTAGTTTGTGTTCTGCTTTGTGAATACAGCTGTTGAAATTTGTTGTTGGTCTTTATTATTGTTGACTGTTTCCTTATGTACATAAGAGCGTTATACTTAATTATATTTCAATTTTAGAAATATTCGCTTACAAATTGTTTACATCATAATAATTCCAATTCGATTCACTTGAATGTTTAATGAAATGAATAAACAGAGATGTTTATTCATTTACCCCGCATGTGGACAGTGGACATTCGTACTGACACTTAAGCTGTCTTTCTGGACTGCTCAACATAGCATTCTCTTCAACGGCTCCCTGCTCTGTTTTGCTCTCGATTGGTTAAACCATAATTATGTAATACAAAAAATCAATTTGAAAAATTATCTGGATATCAACATATCATCCTCAAATGAACTCAAGAAGAAATATGACATATCAAATGCAACCGATACTGAAGAGGTATGTCACCTTTACCACTATCCAACTCAATCGGATCCGCTATGGACATGGGACCTCCTAGCAATCTAAACCACTTTTCCCTCCCACCATTCCACTCAACCAGATCTGAATATTCACAACCAGAGCTGTGGCGTAGAACATGCGGTAGTTTACGCCGTATACCCTGTGGTTTTTTCATAGGAAACTCCCATCTATACCTTCTAGCTTTGCCAAGGATATCATATACCTGTTGATTAAAATGTGTATACTTCCAAAGCCTGTCTGCGTGTGTATATTTGAAAATAACAATATCGGCGCAACATGATTTCAAGGAGACGCGGCTGCCTGTGTGTGTTTAAGTACTTGTATTCGTGTATGTACACATATATATGTACTTATATTTATATACATAAGCTGTATATTTACTCTATTATTATATTTTGTGTATATTTACTCTATTATAAGGCATAATTTTTGTACATAAGAGTTATTAGTAATTAGTAAATAATTTATCAACTGATTAATTAATTATTTAATTAATCAATCAATTGGCTTGTATAGTAATTTGTTGTCTTTGTGTTTTCTAAAGATTAGTCGCATTGTAAATTTTTCGTTTCTCTAAAATTTTTCGATGATTTTTTTAATATTTTGTTGCTAATTTTGATTCAACTTATAGGAAAAAATTAGGATATTAATAATATAGTTTTTTTTTGATATAACTATAGTTAATTAATTAAATTCGTTTTTTAGTTAATATTTGAGTTTGTAATATGATAAGTTTTATGTTGAATACACTCATATTATTTTCAGCGCATACGCTTACAACAACTTACGTTCTAAATCAAATTTACCTTTTCAATATTGAAATATGTTTGTAATGGCTTCTAAAAGAATTTGTACTTCTGAGATTTTGTGTTTATCAAGTACTAATTTAGAAATTTTATCAGATGACAATTTCAAAAATGAAGTTGCATCATTCTTTACGTGTGACGAGATTTCGGTCGGTAAAAAAATCTTAGTTTCTGAGTATGAAACATTGAAAAAAGATGAAATCAAACAGTTGAATCGAGGAAATACTAAATATGAAAATGTTTTTGATATTGTTGACATGTTTGTTGAATTGACAGATAGTAAATTATTTGAGCGGTTGCCAACATTTGTTATATTCGATATCGATAGAGTCCTCCTCATACGTCTGGCCAAGAATAAGAGTAAAACGGTATTTGAAAATTTAAATAGATTAAATAAAGGATGATACAACATTAAAAAAATTATTAGCGTAGTAGCAGTAGTAAATCAAGAAACAAAGGAACGAACAAATAAATGATTAATCAATGATAATTAATTTTTAATTAATTATCAATTTTTGAAATAAATTCCTATGAGTCATCTTTATTAACATTTAAAATTATCAACAATATAACATCTACAACTGATATAATGTTAATTAATACGATTAAATTTATAGCTAACCCCAGGATTGACAGAACTAACAATACTAATATAATTAAGCCATTAATGAATTTAAATAAAATAACATCCAGGAACTCTTGTTATTATGCACCTTATAAATGGAATAATCTGCCACAATATTTAAGATTAATTAATAATCTAACAGAATTTAAAAAGAAGTTGAGAACATTTTTAAATTATTTAAGTTAAATGCATTAATATTATATTTTTAATTTTATTCATTTTTTAAGTTTAAACGTATCAATGTTTTATTTCTAAGTTTATTCATGAAAATTTAAGAACATTGAAGAATTTAAAAGACATTTATTTTACATTTATTTATGTTATTGTATTTTTTTTTGGATTACTTATGTTATTTCTTGTTTTATGGGAGTCAACCCTAGATAAGCATTTATTGCTAGGCTGACTCTTTCAATTTTTTTGTGAATAAATGAAATTTTAAAAAAATGATTAACGAACCAATAAATGTAAGAATAATTTGAAGGATTGAATAATAAAACGAACGAATGAATGAATGAGAAAAAAAAACGAAACTAAACCTTACTTCAAAAATCGTCGTTACCGTAATCCATTGCACCGACCACCACCATCTGGTCGGCACACAAGATTTCATCCGAACTTCAGAGTGTCAGTCGAACAGCCAACGAGCTGATTCTTCCTACACCACCATCATCATATGTAAATCATCATGAGACCACCATCTAAAACGTGCTGACTCCCACCACTGCCCACCTCTCATCATTCTGTAGACAAAATTATTTTATTAGCATAGTAGTAAATGAATGTTAGAATCTTAGAAGCAAAAAATTGTAAAATGAAAATAATGGCAAATAAATAATAAAAGAGAGTAATATGTAAGAAAAAGAGAGTAGGCTAATGTAAGAAAAAACCTTACCATCGTCCGTTTAACAATGGCAGAATGTTGAATGCTTTCCGGTTTCTACTTGTCCTCCAAAACTGGTGCCAGTCCTACTCGAGATTGTTGTTGAAACACGGCCTGTATTGAGGAAAAAAGATAGAGAAAGAGAAGATTTTCATCCAAAAGCTTAGCGTTGCCTGCATCTCAAATTGCTTACTTTGTACAAATATTCCTATCTACTTATTCAATTACCTTAACTAATGATATCTTAAATTCTTAATGAGTATGTATATGTTGGTACGACAGTCGAGAGTACCCTTCACTCCCCATCCATTGCACAACGGTTCACCGACAGCCAATGCCTTTACATTTTCGATGGAGTCGATTTGTTCGATAGCACTGAGACAAAAAAATTAAATGGATAAAATTGAATCGTTGGTTGAGTGACAGGCCCTGACGGAAGGAACGGAAAAACTTTTTGATCGTCGCCACAGCATGTCTAGCGAGGTCCACGACACTGCTGCTGCTGATGGCGACATCAAAATGATCAAGTCCAAGCCTAATAAACAATTCTATTACTATTTTGCTGGCATTTTGCAAAATTTTTGTAAAAAATTTGCTGATGTGAAATTAACGCGTCTACACGCACATTTTCTTATTTTCGTTCGTTTTCTTATGACTGCTCTTGTTCCGTCTATTATAAACTATTTTTATCATATTATATTTCTCATCTTAATCGCAAATTAAAGTAAAAATCTCAAAATGTGGACATCATTTATTAATAAACCATATATAAACCCATAAATAATAATAATAATAATGTCAATAATAACAAAGACAAAACAACCCTAAAATTACATTATATATATATAGACATATATATATATATATATACACTAGACTATATATATATATATGTGTGTGTTTGTGTGTGTATGCGTCTATAACATTATATGAGATTATGGTAAGTAGTCATGTTTCGTTCCAACAGATACTTTGAAAATAGTAAAATCATCTATCATATATGTGCCTAGCTAGAACATCAGGGTTTTGTCTTGTTGTCAAACAAAAAATCTGATTGATAATATTACATACATATACATAAGAACACACAAAAAATTACACACACACACACACACACACACACAAAACTTATACTTACCCACATCATGGAATCCTAGATACAATGTATTCTTGCCTCATGTACATTACTACCTAAGCCAACACACACACACCCACGCACACACAAACAATTTTAATTGAAATCATTATTTAAGCAGGAATAACAAAATGAGTCTACAACGATAAATATTATGTAGAAGAATACAAACGTGGATAAAAAAAATTCTTTAGATAAGTAATCAGAGAGAATAAAATACTAATAAAATATTTCTAAACTTAATTAAAATAAAACAATTTTTTAAAATCTGCCAAAAAAGTTTAAAATTAAAACAAAAAGTCTCCTTATAAGATATAACAACAACGGTAATTATATGCTTAAAATTAAATTAACAACAATAAAATAATAAGCAGACCTAAAATAAATACATATCATAAATTCTCATTATTAACATGAAAAAAAAACTCGTCAAGAAAGATTGTAGCGACAAACAAACAATCAAAAGAATAAATAAAAAACATTTATTCCTAAAAAAACAATGAAATATCTTTATTATACTATAGTTTGTATTTCAAAAAAAAAAAAAGTAACCATCTTGTAGCAAGCAATGGAATTGTATGTAGCAGCAATACACTCCTGTTATAAATCAGAAAGAATTTAAATCCTTTTTTAAATTCTTAACGACTTGTATGGAAGTTAAATGGAGGAAGATATAAAACGAACGAACGTGTTAAAATGAAATCAAGATGACATTATTCAGTAAAATATCGACGTACACACACACACACACACACACACACACACACACACACACACACACACACACACACACACACACACATATATATATATATATATATATATATATATATATATATATATATATAAACGACTTAATCGAATAACTAACAACAGCGAAAAAAAATAGATCGATGTTAAGTCATCAGATTTTGAAATGAAAAAAGTTAGAAAAAAAATGATAATACAAATAATAATCACAATAACGACAACTATGGTTAACAAAAAGATAGCAACAACTTAAAGGGCAAAAATACAAACTCATACAAACAAGTGAAGGAGCAATAAAATTTTAAAATAAAATTTAACAATACAGTGAAGGATTTCTTTCAGTATGGGATGGAAAAATTTCGATTTCAGACATTTGAACTCCTCAACCAACAGCAGCAAAAACATCACGCTTTCATTCATTTCTTTCTCTTTTCTTATTCAATTTGCTTCTCTTTCTCCCACTCTACATCCCAGTCCTCTTAAATTTCATCAAATCCAGGCATCGGGAAGCTGGATGCAAACTCGGTGACCTCTGACCTCAACTGCTGAATTTTGCCCCTGATATCCGGGTCAACATCAATTTTCGATTTGAAGTCTTTCAAGAGCGTGCCACAGTCTTTCTGGGCCTCTAAGGTGATTTGGAGACCTAGATTGGGAGGGTGGTGGGTTTAGTTGGATAAAAACTACTAAGTGGTGGGAGCAGGTGAATATTTTGTACGATTTTTATTGCAACAGAAGTCTGACTTCAGCAGTAATTACTTTCCATTATAGGTCTGGTATTATTAATGGGTAAAAAAAAATTTTTTAAATAAAATAACTCATCATTGAAATAAAATAACCTATCATTGAAATAATATTACGTATCATTTGCCTTTGGTTTATTACCTTATGTTTGTAATCAAGATGAATAAATAAACCACAATTTCAAATTGTTATAATAATCACGAATAAATGTAATACAACTACAAATAAATGGGAATAATTTTTTTTATAAACATTCAATATGATCATAAAAATGGAATCATTGGAGCAAAAAAGCCTCACCTCTATGAATGAACTCGGCCACCCTAACCATATCGGCCTCTTTGAAGTTTCTCGTGGTCAGTGCTGGTGTGCCGAACCTCAGTCCACTAGGTCTCAGTGCACTCTTGTCTCCGGGACACGTGTTCTTGTTCACGGTTATGTTGGCTTCCTCAAGAACTTTCTCAGCACGACCTCCGTCGGAGTTCACAGGTCGAAGGTCAACAAGGATGAGGTGGTTGTCTGTGCCACCTGGTAGAAAAGAATGGAAAGAAATTTAAAATTTGAAACAATAAACTAGCCAAAAGTCAACACAACCGACTGACCACCAACCTGAGACAATGGTGTAGCCATACTTCTGCAATTCATCACAAAGGACCTTGGCATTGGTGACAACTTGCTGCTGGTAGGCCTTGAACTCTGGGGTCATTGCCTCTTTTAGGGCCACACCAACAGCTGTTTGAGAATGAGGATGATGAAGATGATGATCGAATTAATAAATGGTGAAGACTAGAATAACGCCTGCGCTGATGAAGACGAAGATGGTGAGAATATAATGAATAATGTAATGAATGAATAAGATCATGAAGATGATGACGAAGATGACGATGATAATAAATGATAAAGATGAAAATAAATTTCTAATGAAGAGGACAATAACGTAAAAAATGATAGTGGACGTACCCTAATGAATGAATATTTCACACATTCAAACCTACAACAAGAAACCAGAACTATGGATCATACGACCACAAATAACCAATCCATCAAACAACCAATCCATCCAAATAACGGATCCACCAAACCAACCAACTTATTAAGCAACCAACCAACCAATCCCTAACTAACTAACCAGCGATGGCGTTATTGTGTGGACCCCCCTGTAGGCCGGGGAACACAGCCTCGTTAATTTTCTTCTCGTAATCGTAAACTGTATCACCTTTGGGACCATTCTTCTTCACCCCTGCCAGCCATTTAAAAAAACTGTTGAGTACTTTTGCATGCCTAGTAAACTTGTAAATATTTTGTAATTTGTAACTTTGAAAATACTTCATGATCGGTAAATATTTCGAGATTTTGAAAACGCTCACAAGTAAAAATACCCCCCCCCCCCGATCAACCGCCAATCAAACCTTTTCTATAAAATATAATCCCAGCCCGAGGTCCTCTAAGAGTTTTGTGGGTGGTCGTAGTGACGATGTCGCAGAATTCGAATGGGCTCGGAATGACCCCGGCGCACACTAGCCCGGAGATGTGAGCCATATCCGCCATGAGGATCGCCTGGTTTTCTTGGGCTATTTCACGGAATCTTGAGTAGTCAAGTTGTCTGGAGTAGCATGAAGTGCCTGTGTGTGTATGTGTGTCAAAGTGTGCTTGTGTGCTCGTGATTGTGTGTCAAAGTGTGCTTGTGTGTGATTATATTTGTGTGTTCGTATCAATCAGCGGAGTGTGGTTCACAAGACACGGAGCGACAAATAATTACAATCACTTCTTTGTAATTACTTGTGAGATTTGTAATGTACGTTTATCACTGAACTATAGTCACAATAAGGTAGGTCCTTATCACATTAAACCAGGAGGTATAATTTTGATGGAGCCCCATCAGCAAGTTGAAGAAAAAAATTAATGATGAGGATGATAAATCACAAAACTAATAAAAACAACGACGATGACGACAAATAATGATTCAATCACCGGCGATGATAAGCTTCGGTCTGAACAGCCTGGCATGCTCTCGTAGCTTATCATAATCAATAAGACCAGTGCTCACGTCCAACTTGTAGGGCATCGACTCAAAGAATATGGACGTGGCAGATATTTTTTTCTGGGCAGTAAAAAATCCGTGAGACAGATGACCCCCATCTGGGAGGTCCAGGCCCATGATTCGACCGTGTGGCTCAACGAGGGCAGTGTAGACTGCAAAATTTGCCGGCACCCCGCTTAAGGGCTGCACATTGACGCCCCATTCTTCAGGATCAAGGTTGAAGGCTTGGAGGGCACGTTTCTGAGTCAGTCTCTCAATCTCGTCGATGTATTCATTCCCACCGTAGTACCTGTTGACGTGTGTGTGTGTGTGTGTGTGTGTGTGTGTATGTTTGTGTGTTGGTAGAGGTTTTGAAACTTGAACAATGTGTTTGTTATTACAAATGAAACAAATTATGTTAACAGATGTTGAAAATTTGTAGATTAACATGATTTTTTGTTCAGTTTATTGTAAAAAGAAATTATCTGATGAATCCACCAAACAACTAGACCAGCAAACCTATTTAACCAACCAACAAACAAACCAATCAATCAATCAATCAACAAACAAACCATTAAATCAATCAACCAATAGCCAATGACCTTTGCCCTGGCTGTCCTTCAGAATATTTGTTGGTGAGACAAGATCCCAATGTTTCCTGGACAGACCTGCTACAGAAATTCTCGCTGGCAATCATCTCCAAACTCCCCTTCTGGCGAATCTTCTCCATCATCACAAGATCCAACATCTCAGGGTCGACATTCTTCAGTTCCAGATCTTTCGGGCTTCGCTGTGTGGCTGACATCCTGGCACTCTTGTACCTAGTTGAAATACATGGGGGGGAATATTTTTTTCACTCAAGCGAAATATTCATAAAATAATCAGGCCAAGTTTTGAAGGTTCTTAAGTGAGTTTGTAAGTAATTTTGTGAAATTTCAAACAAATAACAACTGCATGATTTAAACTAAGATCCATGCATATCTGTTTTGTACGCCATTTCAAATCAAACATAATGTGACTATTATCATTTTTCTAATCAAATGACACAAAGGAACGCAATTAATAAAAACTGATAAATATCACATAAACGAAGACAGAACAAAAAAAAAATGTTGAACTCTGGTCTGTAGAATATTTAAAATGTTAAAAGTGAACCTCAATCAACCTCTATATATACACACAATCTGTTTTGCATAGAAGACCAGCTCAAGAAATAAAAAATTCTGTTCATTAATAATTCAAAAGTTTTTTTTTTAAATTTAAAGTAATGATGCACACACGCACGCGCGCGCACATTCAACATGAAGAGTTTGGATTTGCTTCATTATTCAGTCTTTTATCATAGCACTTCAGGCATTGTTAGCAATGATGTTTGTTGATTGATGTCTTATGATGTTTCTACATGGTTAGTGCATGGAACAATCAAACCATTATTAGTCACGTTGTACATGTATTTCATATTTCAACACATATCGACTGATAGGTGATGTGGCTGTACATCATAACCAAACTTGGAGGATGGTCACTGTGGCATTGTCAGAAAGAAATTCAGGAGCGCCAGAAGAATGCCTGCTAGATTTTACTTCACTGCAGCTAACACCATCAGAAAGTTGCACCAAAGATAGTCACATGCCACATTAAACCAACTTTTTCACAAGTGACATTTCAGACAATCTTCCCAGGCAGATAAAGGAAAAGATAAGTAAGAAATGAACAGAAAAAAGAAGGGAACAGAAATATAACATGAACAGAAGAAAAAAGAAATGTACAGAAGGGCTAACTTGAAACGAGAGTAAGACGTGGCAGACTTGAATGACACTTTTGGAGCAAAGTGGTTGATGAGGTCTCTGAACCAAGGCTGATCGACCGTGCTAAATGGCAGATTGGCTCGTTCCAGGGCCCGACTTATTTCCATATCTGCCTGAAGCTGCTCGGCATCTTGTGGTCGAAACTTAGCCCAACTGGCCATTGGGCTGATGTAATGTTCAAAAACAGTTGGTGAAATTTCCCCACCACAATACTCGTAGTCACCACTAACGCCATACACCTCCTCCAGATCGACCAGAGATATGTCTGATTCTCTCTTTTTTGTTATTTTATCTTTTTCAAGCTCAGCAAATGAGAGTGGATGTTCGCGTAGCAGATGTTTTCGCATGCCCGTCGTGCTGCCATCATTGACTCGATAAGTCTTCTGGCAGTCTTTACACCTCGCCAACGTAAATTTTACTTCTCTGTCATCAACTTTTTCGATGATCAGTTCATGCTCAAAGTACTCCCAAATTAGGCCTCGATGACGTGGCATGAAGAGCAATAAGTACAAGCGATACAGAGCAACAGTCTGTAACAATTCAATTATATTTTATTTCACTTTGTCTACTTGTTCAAATTTATTTTAATTAGATTTCACCTCCTCCATAATACAACAAACAGATTTTTTAAAATAACTTTTTAATGATTAGTATGTATAGTATAATGATTAGTATGGATAAATATGTAACACAATCTGTAATTCACCAGTTTTGACATCATAAAAAATAAACTCAAATATATATCATATATATTTATATTATTGTAACACATGAATATGTGGGTAAATTTAGTTTTAGTAGGTTGGGCCTTAGCCTACATAAAAAAATTATAAATTATTATTATAACTTATAATTTATTTATAGGTATGTGACAAGCACATGGTACTTATATTATATAAATGACTTATTTTAAGTTGCCAAATTAAAACTGACTTCTTTTGTTTGACAATCAGATTTGACATTGGATATACATACTGAAATTGATTCATTCATTGATTTGATATTGCATGATACTGATTCACTGACAATGGTTGATTTTATATTTTTTTTTAATTTAGTACCAAAATATTTTTTAATTATTTCATCATATTTCATAATTCTAATTTATATTTTTCATTTGGAATGGCTTGTTTCGCGAACAGGCTTAAAATAAGCAACCTTTAAAACGGTACGGACAAATTCAGCCTAGACGAGACATTTAAATACAGGGACTACTGAAGAAAGGGCCATGGATATTCAATGGCGAGCTGCACCGACACAGTCATCAAACAAAACAAACTTTATAAACAAATTAATTTCTAAATAATTTTCTAAAATCACTCAATTAATACTAATCGGAAATAAAAATAACAACAAAAACGAACTTTTTGAATAGAAAAAAAACCGAACACGAACGGACCAATCCACTGGACGATAAAACGAGAAAAAAGACAAAATGATTGTTACCAAAGAGCTTATATACTCAGGCAGAACAATAAAATCATGTTCCCGCTTGATCTTTAGATGCAAGTTAACGAAGCCAAATCATCATTTTTGTTTAATTTTCAATTTTAATAATTTCATTCTCGGTTTATTATTTTATGTGATCAAATGTTTAGTAACAAACAATACATAATTTTTTTCAAAATCGTTTTAATTTTTTGTTTTATTCCCTTTTTTAAACATTTTTCTCTTTTTTACCAATATTTGTGGTTAAATATTAACTCACATAACTAGTATAAATATAACGGCCTTTGCTCACTTTTAACGCTCGAACAAGGAGCTTACTTCCGGAGGAGATTTGGAGGGTGATCTGTTATCGTTCGAGTCAAGGGTCGAGCTATTTGACATGCTTGGATTATTGGCATACGAAATTGCATGGATTTTAACGATATGCTATGAGATCAATCAATCAATCAATCAATCAATCAATCAACCATTCATTCAATCAACTAATCAACCAACCAATCGACCAATCAATGAACCATATTTGAAAAATATTTGCGAGGCTTGTTCAAACTCGAACAAACATTTAACTGTACAGATCTACAAACAATTTCGAGATTTTAGTAAAGGAAGAGAAACACAATAGCTGCTTTTATTAAATCAAGAAAAATCCAAATTAAAAAAAACTAGAAACCAGTCAACATTTAATAAATAAATAAATAAAAAAATAGACATTAAAAAGATTGTTCAAAAAAATAAAATTTAAGGCGACGACGAGAATAAAATGTAATTTGTTTTGTTGATGTAGGGCTATGAAGCGAAAACAAACACATCACAAAAAACTAGTAAGAAGTCGCAAGAATAGTAGTCAGTCACCTACCTACAATTAAATTACTCTCAGGGCCCTAGCTTACTTATAATCATTAACTCAACTCACCTACCTACAAATATGTATTTCTACGTTTTTGGAATTTTTCATGTTTTAGATATTTTATTTTACATATTTCAGCGTTTTTATTTTACTTGAAACTTTTTAACTAATGTTAAGCCCTAGCCTACCTACGATTGTTCAACTCATCTCAATCCCTAACTTACCTACGAATTGAATTAAGTCTGGTAAAGAAAATAGAAAGTTGAAGAGAAACATAACAACAACGACACCAAATAAATGGATGTTGTGTATGCGTGTGTTGTATTGATGTGTGTATGTGTGTGTTAATGTGTGCGCGTGTACTCTCCAGAAACTTCACTACGGATGAACATCCATTGCACCGACCATCATCTGGCACGCATCGTGAATTTGACCGGATACTGAAAAATACTGAATCTGAAAAAAATAATATTTTAAAATAAAACCAAGCCATTGGAAAAAAAACAATAGGCAAATTATGTTATTGAGATAACAATCCACTCCAATCACTCTAAAACATTCCAATCGTTTGTTCAAATTCGAGTACTTTCTATGGTACGACGGCAAAATATTTCTCGGTAATATTTATTATTATTACTGTTGTTGTTGTTACCTTCGAATTGTTCTCGGAACGATCATCAGAGACCACCATCTGAAACGTGCTGACGCCCACCACAGCCCACCTCTCATCATTCCGTAGACAAGTTTTTTATATTTGCGTGTTGGTAAATCAAGGAACAAAGTAACGAACAAATAAATGATTAACTGAATGATTGAATGATTGGTTGAATGGTTGAATGAATGAGTAAATGAATGGATGAATTAATCAATCAATGATTCAATGAATGAATAGAATAAATTAACGAATCAATTAATGTAAGAATAATTTGAAAGATTGAATGATAAAATGAACAAATGAATGATTGAATGAATGAATGATAAAATGAACAAACGAATGAATGAATGAATGAACGAATGAATGAACGAATTAATGAATGAATGAATGAAAAAATAAACGAAATTAAACCTTACTTCAAAAATCGTCGTTACTGTACTCCATTGCACCGACCAAAATCATCTGGTCGGCACACAAGATGTCATCCTAACTGCAGAGTGTCAGTTGGACAGACAACGAGCTGATTCTTCTTACACCACCATCATCATACGTAAATCATCATGAGACAACCATTTGAAACGTGCTGACGCCCACCACAGCCCACCTCTCATCATTCTGTAGACAAAATTTTTTATTAGCGTAGTAGTAAATAAACGTTCGAACGAAGGAACAAACGAATAAATGATTGGTTGATTGATAAAGTGAATGAATTAATCAATCAATGAATCAACGGATCAATGTAATGAATCAATTAATCAATTAAATAATTTACAAGATTGAGTGAAAAAATGAATGAATGAGAAAAATAAAAAACGAAACTAAACCTTATTTCGAAAATCGTCGTTTCTGTAATTCATTGCACCGACCACCACCACCTGGTCGGCACACAAGATGTCATCCTAACTGCAGAGTGTCAGTCGAACAGCCAACGAGCTGATTCTTCCTACACCACCATCATCGTATGTAAATCATCATGAGACTACCATCTGAAACGTGCT